TTTTGTTTTTTTGAGACGGAGTTTCGCTCGTTACCCAGGCTGGAGTGCAATGGCGCGATCTCGGCTCACCGCAACCTCCACCCCCTGGGTTCAGGCAATTCTCCTGCCTCAGCCTCCTGAGTAGCTGGGATTGCAGGCATGTGCCACCATGCCCAGCTAATTTTTTGTATTTTTAGTAGAGACGGGGTTTCACCATGTTGACCAGGATGGTCTTGATCTCTTGACCTTGCGATCCGCCCACCTCGGCCTCCCAAAGTGCTGGGATTACAGGCTTGAGCCACCGTGCCCGGCTAATAATGTGTTTTTTTAATTGCTTTTTTGAGACAGGGTATCACTCTCACAAGGGCTGGAGTGCAGTGCCACAATCACAGCTCAATGCAGCCTCAACCTCCCTGGCTCAAACAATCCTCCCCTCTCAGCCTCTCTGAGTAGCTGGGACCACAGGTGTATGCCACCTTACCCAGCTCATTTTTTTAAAAAGTCTTTTTGTAGACACAAGGTCTCGCTATGTTGCTTAGGATGGCCTCAAGCAATCCTCCAGCCTCAGCCTCCCAAAGGGCTGGGATTACAGGCATAAACCACCATGCCTAGCCCTTAATCTGTTTTTATGAAGAACACAACTCTCTATTCCTTATCTATAGGCTAGGAATAGTGACTTCCCTACAGTATGGAAAGGAAGGGGGTAAAGAGTAACTTCACAGTGAAGCCTTACAAACAGTATCTCTGCCAGATGATCATGGTCAATACTAACAGGCTGAGCATAGTGGCTCATGCCTATAATCCCAGAATTTTGGTAGGCCAAAAGGGAAAAACACCTTGAGTCCAGGAGTTCAAGACCAGCCCAGGCAACATAGTGAGATCTCAGCTTTTCCAAAAAAAAAAAAAAAAAAAAAAAAAAAAAAAAATTAGCCAGTCATGATAGCATACGCCCGTGGTCCTAGATACTCAGGAGGCTGAGGTGGGAGAATCGATTGAGCCTGGGAGGTCAAAGCTTCAGTGAGCCATGATGGTGTCACCACACTCCAGCCAGGGCAATAGAGCAAGACCCTGTCTCAAAATAACAAACAAAAAAATTAACAGTAAAAAATCATTGTGATGCTATGTACCCTGATATGATGTGATAAAAATGTCACTTTACCTCTGTGGTCTTCCTCCCCAAAACACAAAACCAAGTCTGTGAATCATGAGAAACATATCAGACAATATCCAACAGAAGGACATCCTACAAAATACCTGATCAGGGCAAAGTGTGGTGGCTGATGCCTGTAATCCCAGCACTTTGGGAGGCCGAGGTGGGCAGATCACGACGTCAAGAGATCGAGACCATCCTGGCCAACATGGTGAAACCCCATCTCTACTAAAAATACAAAAATTAGCCGGGAGTGACAACATGTGCCTACAGTCCCAGCTACTCAGGAGGCTGAGGTAGGAGAATCACTTGAACCCAGAAGGTGGAGGTTGCAGTGAGCTGAGATCAGGCCACTGCACTCCAGCCTGGTGACAGAGCAAGACTCAGATTTAAAAAAAAAAAAAAAAAATACCTGGTCGGGCACAGTGGCTCACGCCTGTAATCCCAGCACTTTGGGAGGCCGAGGCAGGCGGATCACAAGGTCAAGAGATCGAGACCATCCTGGCCAACACGGTGAAACCCTGTTTCTACCAAAAAATACAAAAATTAGCTGGGCATGGTGGCACACACCTGTAGTCCCAACTACTTGGGAGGCTGAGGCAGGAGAATTGCTTGAACCTGGGAGGCGGAGGTTGCAGTGAGCCAAGGTTGCACCACTGCACTCCAGCCTGGTACCTGATGACAGTGCGAGACTCTGTCTCAAAAAAAAAAAAAAACATGACCAGTACTCCTCTCAAAACTCAAGGTCATTGAAAACAAGGAAAGCCTGAGAAAATGTTAAAGCCAAGAGGAACTTAAGCAGACATGAAAACTAAATGTAATGTAGTACCCTGTGTAAGATCCTGGAACAACAACAAAAATTAGGTAAAAAGGTCAGATGCGATGGCTCATGCCTGTAATCCCAACACTTTGGGAAGCAGAAGTGGCGGATCACCTGAGGCCAGGGGTTTGAGACCAGCCCAACCAATATGGTGAAACTCCATCTCTACTAAAAATATAAAAATTAGCCAAGCGTGTAGGCACATGCCTCTAGTCCCAGCTACTCAGGAGGTTGAAGCAAAAGAATCGCTTGAACCTGGGAGGCACAGAGGTTGCAGTGAGCCAAGATCGTGCCACTGCACTACAGCCTGGATGGCAGAGCCAGATTCGGTCTCAATAATAATAATAATAATAATAATTAGAAGCCATGATCTTGGCAAAAGTTAACATTAAGTTATATTGAATCTGCTACCTTCTTTGCTTTTTCTTCAGCAACATGCTGTGGCCTAGAAGCAGAAGATGAGAAAATAGTTGATGGGTATGATCAGAGATAACAGAAGTGACTGCTTAGTATAGAAAATCAAAATGAATAAAGAAAGCGGGCCGGGCGCGGTGGCTCAAGCCTGTAATCCCAGCACTTTGGGAGGCCGAGGCGGGTGGATCACGAGGTCAAGAGATCGAGACCATCCTGGTCAACATGGTGAAACCCCGTCTCTACTAAAAATACAAAAAATTAGCTGGGCATGGTGGCACGTGCCTGTAATTCCAGCTACTCAGGAGGCTGAGGCAGGAGAATTGTCTGAACCCAGGAGGCAGAGGTTGCGGTGAGCCGAGATCGCGCCATTGCACTCCAGCCTGGGTAACAAGAGTGAAACTCCGTCTCAAAAAAAAAAAAAAAAAAAAAAGCAAGCAATGAGGATATTATCAAAGTGGTTGGTCACAGAGGTCTAGCTGGGCAGCACCAAAGGCCATAAGGTCTGACAGATCCAATGGAATGGGAAGGTCAGGAACCAGAGAACGTCAGGACGAAAAGCTGACGCTGTGGGTTTAAGATAGTGAAACAGTTGACTGGTAAGGAGGCTAAAGTGATGGGGAGCGCCTAAAGAAAAACCAGTGTCCTAGATGAGGTCCATGTTGTAGTGATTCTGATGTGCAAATGGTTTGAAAATACATAGGAAAGTCAACCATCTCATGCTGAGGAACTATGAGATCAGAGTCTCCATCCAATGGTGCTGAAGACACTGAAAATGACAGCAAGGAAAAGAGGAGAGAAAAAAATATGATGCAGTAGGTGTGGGTCCTTGTGGGCAGTAAATGATGGCACTAAAGTTTTACAGAAACTGCTATCATTGCATGGCAACACCTTCCATGAGAATTAGAGTGACAGTGGTAGATCAATGATCTGGACATAGTTAAGGAAAACAAAAAAGCAGTTTATTCCTTCTTCTCTTCCACATAGTCACGGAGAACAAAAACCAGCTTTTAGTGGCAAGGTAGGGTGAGATGTGATACCTGGATTTTCACTGAGTCAGGGTAAAGAAAATGATTAAGAGTAAAGAGAAGTTGGCCAGGCGCGGTGGCTCACACGCCTGTAATCCCAGCACTTTGGGAGGCTGAGGTGGGCAGATCATGAGGTCAAGAGATTGAGACCATCCTGGTCAACAGAGTGAAACTCCGTCTCTGCTAAAAATACAAAAATTAGCTGGGTGTGGTGGCGTGTGCCTGTAGTCTCAGCTATTTGGGAGGCTGAGGCAGGAGAATTGCTTGAACCCAGGAGGCGGAGGTTGCAGTGAGCCGAAATCGCGCCATTGCACTCAAGCCTGGGCAACAAGAGGGAAACTCCGTCTCAAAAAAAAAAAAGAGTAAAGAAAAGTTTATTGGATAAGTAGCATTTTCAAACCACACATTAAAAGTTGGTAATTAATGAAGGAGCTACAGTACTGGGTAGAGAACGGAAGGAAAGAGGTAGTACCACTTTAAATTGTGAGGTTGGAGGTAAGTAGCAGCAACCTGGGTTGTCACCAGGTACCATAAGATAGGTGGGCTGAGGTGTAAGGAACATGGAAAGCAGCAAAGAAGCAAAAATGGCACATTTTAAAACAGACCGTGTGTACCAAGGCACAGGCACAGTGTTGCTTCTACAGACTACACATATGAGGGCTACAAAAACAGAAACACTTTGCACTTGAACAGCGTTTTATAAATTGCTTTCACATATATTATCTTACTTGATTATCACTGGATAGCTATTACCACTATGCACATTTTTCTAAAGATGAGGCCATTAGGAAGGGACAAAACCATGACAAAAGCTGTGATTCTCCGTTTTTAACACATACACCTCACATACACAGCAGACACTTCAGCATCTCAGCCAGCCAGTCTATAAATTCTACCCTAGCCAGAAGGAAGAGTGAGTTTTATCCACTTGTCAAAGGAGTTGGGAGAAAAGCCACTAGACACTTTCCAGTTTGCCTTCTCCCACCTTAGACCCCCCTCAATTTCTATCACCATCACGGGAGAAGGTAGAGAAGGGTAGTTCTATCAAGGAGAAAACTAAAGCTGAAAGTTATATGAGGATCCTCTTCCCTTCACACCTCTGGACCTCAGTGACCCAACAAATGAAGCTAAGGAAGAGGAAAAAGCACTATGTGGAAACGAGGAGGTCTCCAGCAAATAAAGCTTCGAGAAAAATAATGAAAACGGAGCTGGGGCAGGGCAGAAAGCAAGTATAGCTGAGATGGGGGAGGGGAAAAGGAGGAGGGCAGGAATTGGAGGGAGCTGAGAGTGTAGGAGCCCCCAAGGCTGAAGAACCTAAAGGAGATATGAGTCCTCCAACTGCTGGAGAAAAGCTAAGGACCCGTGAGGGTCCTGAAACAGGGACTAGCACTGAAGGACCCCAGGGTGTGGGTGACCGGAAGCAGAGACCCCCAAACACGAGACCAGAAGGGGGCGCAGGAGACAACCCGTAGGAGAGAATGAATGGGGAAGGCGGTCCAGGGGGCGGGGCAAAGGAGGGGCCCCGGGATGGGCGGGGCACAGACCCCTTTCCAAGTCCGAACCCCTGCCCCGAGAGCCCGGAGAGAAGCGGCTCCGCGCCTCCCGCACTCACCGCCGGTCTCGTCAGTAACATAGGGAGTCGCCATCTTGAAAAAGCAAACCACTTCCGGCGTGAGCGGGCTGGGGTCCCGCCCCCCTCCCCACCGGAAGTGGAGTCCCAATCGTAGCAAGCCACCATCTTAGCCTTAAAGGGAGAGTGCACCATTTCATGGGCGGAGGTGGAGGAGGAGGAAGAGGGGAGAAGCTGAAATAGTTAATAAAATAAAGCCTTGGGCTCTTTTACTGCCACCGATACCATTATTGAGCGCTTGCTGCGTATAAAACAGTCCTAGGGGAGCCAAGAGAAGTTCCGAGGCACAGTCCCTCTCATCCCAGGGACTCCTCGTACGTCCAGGACCTGTGAGGGAAAAGGGCGCAAGGCCCACCTGCCCTCAGAAAGAGGGGCTTCTAAATGAAGACAGGAAGAATATCCAGGCTATTCTTCCTGCACCCAGATCTCAGAGCGGCTTGACGTGGGGCAGGCAAACTCCAAGAAGGCACTGGGGCGCGCGAATGTTTCTGGGGACGGTTGGGAGACCCCCTGTAGCCCTCTCTAAGAAGGCGGGGAGGTCGAATTCGCGTGCCGATTGCTACCGGCCGCCCCACTCAACCTCCAGAGACCCGCGGGAGGGGCGCGCAAGGCGGAGGGCGCCGCGGGTCGGTCACCTGTCTCCGTAGCCACAGGGTTGCCGGCAGCTTCCATGGCCGAAGAGGCAGCAGGCCAGGTTGGGCGGGCGGCCCTGGCCTGGCTCTGCCCCGCTGGGCGGCGCCGAGGATTCGGCGGCGAAGTGACGGGGGCCGTAGTTGCTTCTGGCCTCGACCTCCCAGCCCTGAGTGCCTCCTTGGGCTGGGCCCTAGGGTCGGAGGGCAGGGTGAAGGCTTCTGGGCGGACCTACTGAAGTATTCTAATGAACCTCGTCCTACCGCCGGGGAGCTAAAGCCGGGCAGCTCGCCAATAATCCGGTCCCCTAGAGTCACTCCATTTGTGATCCTGCCCTGCCCTGTACCTCCCTATTCTTCCGACGAACCCAAATGCCCTCCCTCCGCCGCCCATTTCATCAACTGTTGTTCCTTCAGGGCTGAGTCCTGTTAAACTTGTTTCCCCCTACAGCCTGGGAGGGGCCGGCTACAGGTTCCTCTCCCCAGGTGTCAACTGTGCCCTCCTCCACCCTCGTAGAGCTTTTTCCTTATCAACTCTTTACCTTTCTGCATATATCCGCACTTTGGCTTAGGTTAATGTCCAGTAGTACCCCTGGAACGAGAGAGGAGGTAAATATTGGTGACTACCTCCAACACTAGGCAGTATGTCCCACTTGAAAAACAAAACTAAAAAACAGCAATGGCTGACTAGGACCTTTATAAGACAAATTAGGCCTCAGGAGTGTTCTGGGGGCCGCAGCTTGCCTTCCTTCCTATCCTCCATCTCCGTGACTTCCACTAGAAGCCAACTCAGAATGTCTGGGGGTGGGAGGCCGGGGCTCATTTAAAAAGTATTTGCAGGCCGGACCTGGTGGCTCACGCCTGTAATCCCAGCACTTTGGGAGGCCAAGGCAGGCGGATCACTTGAGGTCAGGAGTTCAAGACCAGCCTGGACAACATGGTGAAACCCGTCTCTACTAAAAATACAAAAATTAGCTGGGTATGGTGGCTTGTGCCTGTAATCCCAGCTACTCGGGAGGCTGAGGCAGGAGAGTCGCTTGAACCGCCGAGGCAGAGGTTGCAGTGAGCTGAGATGGTGCCACTGCACTCCAGCCTAGGTGACAGAACAAGACTCAGTCTCAAAAAAATAAAAATAAAAAGTATTTGCATAGATAAACAGTTATTGCAAGTTTTCTGACATTGCTCTCTTTAACCCTTGCTCTCCTTTCACCAGTTGTGCTTCAGCACTGCAGGGTCTAACATCTTGTCCTTAACCTTGTTGCTAACGATTAGAAGTGAGACTGTGGGATGAAGCCTCTAAGAACTAATGGGATACGTTGGTCTTGAGTGAACTACCTCAGGTGTGGTCTCTGCAGCTTCCAGAGGCTGCTCAATAGACCTTTGTGCAGGAGGGAAACCTAAAGTGGGCCCTTTGCACCAACCCTAGGCCCCCTTCGCACCCCCAGACATCCTGCCTCAGCTCTGGGGTTGACAGGAAGTGAAACTCAATTGTCTGCTTAGTAGACCTGCCTGGGACCCAACCCTAGGCCCCGGATGTGGCCCCCCACCCTGAGGAGGAACGGGGAAGAAAAGGCCGGGGAGACAGGCTGTTGTTTTTTCCTTTCCCTTTGTTCATTGTGGTTTCTTTCTTTCTGATTTTTATGATGTGGTTGATTAAAGAAATGAGCACCTGGAACCGTAGGCATTAAACGCCTCCTCCTTAGATGTTTCTCGGCTTTTCTTTCCCCACCCACACCCGCTAGTAACTGACTTGGGGTATGATGGAGCACAGATCCTAAAGAAGACACAAAGAAGTCTAGAGTAAGACTGATTCCAACTTATTCCTTACTAGAGAGATAACATTACATCCTACTTTGAAGTACCAAGAACTGTCTTAAAAGGAGTGTCTTCAACTTTATTTTGGGACATATCTAAAGAGGATAGAGTGAGAAACACAGGCAATACATAGGGTGGCATCACTTTGAGCATTCTTTGCAAGGAAAGCTGAGTGCCTTAGAGATTAATATCCTTCCAAGAGTTCTTTTTTTTGTTCCCCAAGAGTTCTAAATAAGAGATCCAGGGACAGAAAACTGATTGGCAGTGGCGTTAGGGGGCCTATTCTTACTTATATTGTATGTTTGTTTAAAGTAGCTCGGAGCAGAGTTTACACACACTGTACCTCTCTTTGGTATAGTCCTTAAACTGAGCTGTCTTTGCTTGTACTGCAGAACTAAGTGCAGGACTTGGTGTATAGAAGGCCTTCAGAAGAGTTTGCTTACTATGACTAAGGAAGTCAGGGAGGACGGAGAGATGAAGTTCTGTTAACAGTGAAGAAAGTACTGTACTGTAAAGACAAAGGATGGGCAGTGTCAAGGCCCTTGTCTTTTCACGATTAGGGGTGAGAGGGCGAGACCCAGAGGGGCACAGGAGCAGAGAGACAGACCTGCTTCAACCTATGCCTGAAATCTCCGGTTTAAATAGAACAACAAACTCTCAAACCCTATTACTCAGCAGCTATATTTCTGGCAAAGGTGGAGGAGTCTGTTCCAACAAGTCTGTCTTGAAACAATCAAGAACTGCTTAGATTCCCCTGTTTCCACTAGAGGGCCTCATGTCTTCATTCCCTTTTCTCTCCAACGCCCACCAAAAATATGTATATATTATGTGTGTGTGTGTATGCATACACAATACCCACATATGCATATACCCTTCTAGTCAGAGGTCTCCCCTCACCCTCCTTCCCACCCCAGGTGTAAGAAGGACTATTCCAGAAACCTAAGGCTTTGTTACCCTCCCCTGTTTCAATGAAGGGTAGGAGGGAGTTAGATAGGGGTTGGGGGCGGGGCCAGTGAGCAGGATGCCTGGGTCTCCAGTTCCTGCCAGTAAGTCCCTAGGCCTCCATCTCTCTCCCTTGCTGTACCACATTCAGCACCATCCATGCGATCCCGAGAGCCTTGATGACTCTAGAAGAGATTCCAGGCAGGAGAAGCTGAAAGGACCTTTCATTCCCTACTTTTGGCCGGGGTCTTCTGTACCACCTGCCAAGGTCAGCAGGTAAAGTGGGAGGATGAGGGCATGGAGAAAGGGTGGACACAGACCAGAGTGCAAACTTCCACCCTAGAATTAAGGAGAGGACATGAGTCTTGACAGGAGGTGTTCTTAGACTGGGGGAAATAGTTCTAAAAGGGAGGAGAGGAATATGGAGGAGAAGGTGGGTAGATTGTCTCAAGCAGAGTGGAGCCCTCGGTGGGAGGGAGGTGTTTGTTCAGGTCGTGGAGTCTGGGACTCTGGCCTTGCCACCCTGGGATATCCTGAGTGTGAAGTCAGTAGTGGATGGAAGGGAGTTGGGCAGGGAAGTTCAGGATGGCAGCAATCAAGAGAGAGTGAGGAGTTGGTTGGGTGCCCAACTGCCGAGCTGTTCTGTTAGCGGGCACGCCCGGTATCTTGGCCTCCCAGGTTTGGGATGAAGGGAGAGGCTGTGAGTGAGTAGAAAGAAGGAAAAATAAGATAGACGCAGAGCTGCCCCTGGTGCGGGAAGATGAGGAGCAGTTAATGGAGAAAATGTGTCCAAAGCCCCGGACATATTCGAGGGAGGGTGGAGCAGGTAATGGTAAAGTGGAAACCTAGAAACGGGCTTCTGCAACTTCGAAGTTCCCAGAGCTGGGGGCGCCGGGCGCGGGCGCGGCGGGCGGGCTGGGATGGGGGGCGGGCAGCTGTGTCGTCAGGAGCGGGGCGGCCCCGCTGCGGCCGCGTCTGCCTGGCCCGTCCCCTCCAGCCCAGCTCGGGCTCCAGCTCCGGCGCCGGCGCTTCAGCTGCCACCGCGAGCCCTCCCAGGCAAGGTAGAGACCCCGCGAGCCCCCCGGCGCCCCGCTCTCTCCCCCGTTGGAACAGGACAGGGGTCGGGGAGCCGAGGACCCACGGGCTGCGTTCGTACTGCTGGGTCGGGAAGGAGGAAGCGTGACAGCTGGAGCGGGAAGCGAGAAGGGTCTGCGCTGGGACGCGGTGGGGGGGCAGCGGGAGGGCTGGGCCAGAACCCGGTGGGTAACGTTTCCCAGACCTTCTCCTCCATCCCTTCCGCTCACTCGGAGGGATGGTGAAGCCCGGTTCCTGGGGACCCGACTCGGAGGGAAGTCCTTTTCAGAGCCTCCACAGCGCCGCACGGGTGGAGAAGGGTTCTTGTTTGGCCTCCAGGTCCCCAACTTCCCACCCCTATCCTCTCCCGACCTGTCACTGGGAACTTTCTGAAAATACCTGAGTCGGAATCTCACTTTTCACCTTTAGATAGGAGAAATGAGCCTTCCTGAGGAAGAAATGCAAATATTATTGGGCATCTCTTCAGCCTCAGCACAGACAAGCCCACATCCCCCAACCATGCCAGTATCGTAACTTCCTCCTGTACTACGCAATGACACCCTCTACACACACACACACACACACACACACACACACACACACACACACAGACACACAGACACACACGCCCCTCAGCCAGGGAACACTGCAGTCTTCAATGTTTGTGGAGGCTTACTGAGTTTTGAGGCTTCAAGTAAATGATTCCCTCTTGGGGGCTACCTACCAGCAGCAGGCGTCGGGGAGAGGAAGAGAATACAGTCTGTGATGTGACTCAGGGATTCAGAAGTCCAGGTAATCAGGCCTGGGCCCTCAAATTTGGAGCTCCTGCCCCTCGGGGTTTCTTGTTGGGGCAGCCTCAATATTCTAGGGACATAGCTATTTCCAGAGTAATGGTCGACTTACATGACTTGGAATGTGAGCAATGAATGCTTAAGCGAAAAAAAGGAAACTTCAAATACTAACACAGACTTGGAAATATTTGTCTCTTGGTTAAAATTTTAGTGTTTGATGTTTAAAATTAGATCCAGAGAGCAAGAAGCTTTAAGATTTCGTGGAATGGACTAAGGATGGGTGTCTAGGGTCTGACCGTACCCCTAAGAGAGTAATTCTCTCACTATGCCTCAGTTTCCTCCTCTGTAAAATACAAGGGTTGGTGACTCCCGG